ATTGGAGAGCAGAGTTCGAATTCCAGTCCAGTACATTCACTGACGTACTATTACTCTTGGGAAAGGTATGAATCCATCTCTCCCCCTACCCAAGATATGGGTAAATAGAAGACAGAATGGATGCCAAGTCCAGGAGGAAAACTGAATTCAAATCTTGCTCACGAAACTACATCTACTGCAATATATGTGGTGCTCCTACAGGCCTCGTGATTGTGAGTTCGCTCCATCAGCCACTGAAATGATTGCTGTTGTAGGGTCACAGAAGATGATTTATACATATCTTATGACTTTTGGAGAGAGAGAGAGAGAGAGAGAGAGAGAGATTCAGATAATTCGTTAGAAAGTCATGACCCCAACGACAGATGGGCTGAGATAGTTCTAGTTGTGTGAGATTTGTGAACAATGTGCTTGGGATGATCGTGTTACGTGCAGAACTTAAGATATATTTTCACATAACTCACATTCTTTACCCACAGGTGGGTCAGTGCAGTATGGTGGGAAATGACATACTTTGTCGATCTAATCATTGTATGCAAACTGCTACTGATCAAAAGCACACCTTTCATGCAACCGAAGCACTTTATGACAGTGTAAAGTGCGACTGATTGATAATTGCTAGAGCAACTAATTGTTTATTACCCTTTTAGTACAATATAAAAAAGGTACAGATTAGGAAACTGATCCACAGAAACCAAGAAAACTTTCCGTCTCATCAAAAGATTATACCTGGTCGCTGACCGATTCGTTTTCTACGGCTTATCAACCCTTTGGAGGTTATTTAAAGCCAGAAATTATTTTTAGATTCTAAGAATCTTTTGGGAGATAATAATGATTTACTGATACAAGTTTGCTAATTAACTCATAGCTGGGAAGAGAAGAGGTAGATTCATACTTTTCCCAGGGTTAACTGCGCGAGTCTAATTCAAATAAGGACTTTCCGAATAACAATTCAGGGTCATTATCCATTACACCACCGCACACCCAAGCTTACACCACCTGGTATTCCCAAGCGGTCACCCATCACAAAAAGGAAGAACACACACATATATATATATATATATATATATATATATATATATATATATATATATATATATATATATATATATATATATAATGTGTGTGTTTGTGTGTGTCCATACACAGGCATTTCTGATGTTAGCCAGCTTGTCTTCCGAGGTTAGTTAGAACTAAATAATGAGTTCGATCCTCACTGGGTGCTCCATACTTTCGGCCTTGTGTCACATCTAAACTACGCTTTGAAAATCACCGTATTCACGCACACACAAAAATAATAATTGCATGATTTCTTTCTAAAGCAATTTTGGATTTTGTCCAAAACAAAAATAGCTTAATTTATGCGCAAGAATTATTATCTTTTTCTTCTTTATGTGTCGTGTACGTAGACGAACATGGCTCTCCCCAATTTCTTGTCCCTTGCAGCTTTACATAATTTCTGTCTTTTCTTTGTTTCTAAACCCTGTTGGACATCCATTTACTTAAGCTCACTAAGTATGTTATGCGTTGTTTTCCTCTGTCCCTCTTGCCTTCAATCTGTCCTGTGAGTAACAAATTCTCCAAGCCCTCCTTCCTCATTATGCGCCTCAGAAATTTCAACTGTCTCTTCCTAATGTTAAGTATAAGTTGTTTTTTTTTTTTTTTGTTTTGTTTTTTTTTCATTTTCTCATCATTGCACACAGTTACGTCAATGGTATCCTCAACACCCTTCTATAGAACCACATTTTTATTGCTTCAAGTCTCTTCTTCATCTTTGAGGAAATTGTCCAGTATTCACTGCCGTACAGTAGAAAAGATATCACATAACAGTTCAGTACTGTTTTCTTTGTTTCTAAAAAAGTTTTTCTATCTCTTAATACTCTGCTTAGCTTTTGGAATGCATCTTTGCTTAAACTGATGCGTCTTTTGATTTCAGTGTCGCATTTTCCGTCCTCTGTTAGAACACTTCCCAGATATTTAAATTTTTGTGTTTGTCGATTTTGATTTGCATTTTGGGTTCATCCTTTTCCTAATAACAATGTATACTGTTTTCTTACAATTTGTATTTAGTCCTTTCTTCTCGATTTTCTTCATTTCCTTCCGTCGGAGTTTTTTTTTTTTTATTTTTTTTTTTTTAGTTTTCTTTCTGTGTCTGCTATCAGTACTGCGTCATCTAAATAGAAAAGGAATACTTTTCAGTGGAACTAAGCTAGTAGAATTGGTAGAATTCTTAAATACAGTATAAAATAAAACATTTATTAAATATTTTTGTTTGATCTGACTTTTTCTCTTTTACTTTGCTTTTTTAAAAAAGAAAATTTTAATTACTTAAATCACACTGACGTCAATAGTTTCTTAGGGTTTAGTCAAATTCCAATATACTGGCTCATAAACGAGTTACTTATTTTTTTTTAAATTCTTCATACACGAGTAATTTATTTTTTAAAACATCATGTAATAGTGATTTTTTAAACTTAGCTTAAATGCAACACAAGGCCGAAAAAATAAGCCACCCAGTGATAATCGAATTCACTATTCAGTTGTAAATGATCGATCGAAACAAACTTGCTAATGTCGAAATTTCCAAATGATTTTCTAAGCAGAGATTACATGTTTCACAAAGCCAAAAATGTGGAGCTGAAATTAATTTATTTCTTTTTAATTTGGATTACTTTCTTTGAAAAACGTGTCTGAGCATATCGCCAAGCCGATCTCAGTTTCCTTTAACTTTTTTTTTTAATTACCTTTATTATTAAGTATCCTACAATGTTGTAAGACCCTAAATGTAAATTTACCGTATATGATTTCGCAATCAAGGCACTTTCTATAGACTTTCACTTCAGTAAATTGCTTTCTCTTTTAGCGAGTCGCGTTTTTTCAATTTAACGGACTAATAGTCGGGAGGGTCGTTAAAGCCATTTGTCCGTTAATTTGAAGCACTTTTTGTGGCCTAAAAACACCCAGTACAGAACAAAATTATTGTAAATAAATGTAAATACAGTATATATATATATGTGCATTTTATTTTTAAGTTACTATATACCTTTAAATAAAATCATTGTTGCTAGTGAAGAGCTTGACAAAATAAACTACTGTATACTGTACCAAAATCAGTATAAAATGTTCAAGAAACGATGCACAAGTTAACAACAGCGGCTATTCCTGGAACTACCAGATTCTGTCTATAGATTGCGCCAGTAAACAACAACGGACAATTCTGGAACTAACGGACTTTGCTCAGTAAGCATGGGCGTTTTGAATTCCAGCCGGACACTACGATTTCTGAGAATTTTGTTTCTTAGATCCGGAGTCCGATGGTTTCGTTAATTCGAGGTTTTACATAATTTCTCTTTGCGTCTTGTTACGTTAGTCATTGTAACTTTTATTACTTTCCTTTTTCTTTTCTGCTTTTCTTTTTATTGTGTTCTTTTTACTTTTGTACTTTTTTTTCTTTTTCTTTCTCTCTTTTTATTTATTTTTCGATTTTTTTCTCTTTCATTTCACATTTTTACTTTTCTTTCCTATTTTTTTTATTTTGCCCTCTTTTTCGTGTTCTCTTTCTTTTTCCCTTTTTCTTTCTCTGCTTTTTCTTCTTTAATTTTTTATTTTATTTTATTTCTCTATTTTTCATCATTTTCTCGCTGTTTTTTCTGTCGATATTTTTCCTTTTTTCTTTCTTTTTATTTTCTCTTTCGATTTTCTATTTTTCCTTTTGTCATCTTTTTTTTTCACTTTTTTCTTTTCACGTTCTTTTTATTTTTACTCTCTCTCTCTCTCTTTCCTTTTTTCTTTTTCTCGCTCTTTTTCTTGTTTTCTTTTTCTTCTTTTTTCTTTCTTTTTATTTTCTCTTTCGATTTTCTCCTTTTCCTTTGTTGTTCTTTCTCTCTCTCTCTCTCTCTCTCTCTCTTTCTTTCTTTTTTTTTTTTTTCTTCTTTTTTCTTTCTTTTTTATTTTCGATTTCGATTTTCTCCTTCCCTTTGTCATCTTTTTCTTTTCACTCTTTCTCTCTCTCTCTCTCTTTCCACACGCATATTTGTCTCTTATCGTATTTTTATTCCTCTCTCCGCACCCCATCAGTTTTCAGCATTCAAACTACGAAAACAACGTTTATCGATTAAAATTTTTTCTAGAATTACATCCACCCTTGATCACGATATTCGGACTTAATATATCTTTTCACATGAAACAGACAAGAATAAATATTCACTGACACTCGCTCCTTAAGTCCCTCTGTGTAATTTTTCAGAGAACTATGTTGGCTCACAGGAAAACGAAAGGAAATATAAAAGAAAGAAAATGGAGGTTGAAAGTGAAGTGTTCGTAGAGGTAATTAGTGAAATTGCAAACGTTGATAATTAATTTAATAATTACCCACGTCTGAAAAGGATCCTAGGTGAAAAAAAAGAAACGAGAAAAGGTTTCATGTATCAGGTTTCTCTTTTTCAGTTACAATTCGACAAGCGAACACACAAGCGGATGAACACGAAATGACTTCGTTTAAGTCCGTGGATTGGGGCCCATCAGAGAATTCCTACTGGTTTAAACACTTTAAAATGTCTATCTGTTTTTGTTTTTTTGGGTTTTTTTTTTTTCTTTTCTTTTCCTACTTTTCGCTTTTTCTCTCTCTTTCTCTGTCTATCTATCGGTATCTTTTCTATACACTTCTCTAGATCTTTCTTTACTCTTTGAACTATATTTTTTTTTACACTCTCTTTTCTCTTTCCCTTATACTCGCTCACACACACTCTCTCTCTCTCCCTCACACACACACAGAGAAAGAGAAAGAAAGAGAGACTTCTTTATGAGCCTCATTATCTTTTTCATTCATTTTTTTTCACTCCTTTTCTCTCTGTCTTTTGTTCTGCTTTCTTTGTTATCGATCTTTTGACTCTCTTCCCTCAAGCATATTAATCTCTCTCTCTCTCTCTCTCTCTATATATATATATATATATATATATATATATATATATATATATATATATTACTCTTAATCCCAAATTTCTATGCACCTCGTTACTGTTCCATTCATTTCTTTTATCTCAGTCTTTTCATATTTATCTATCGATCTATCTATGTATCCCACTGTCTATCTATCTATCTATCTATCTATCTATCTATCTATCTATCTATCTATCTATCTCAATCTTTTCATATCTGTCACTTTTTCAATGCTCCCTTTTTTACCGATCCTTAATTTTCTTACTCTCCTCCTTTCTTATGCACCTCTCTATGTACCTAATTTCATTCCCCCCCTCTCTCTCTCTCTATCTCTCTTTCTCTCTCTCTGTCTTTTTACACTCTCCTTCCTTTGTTACCGACTCTTCGATTGTATTTTCTCTATTCTTTTTCCCCTTACATCTAAAGTTGCTTTTTACCGTTTTCATTCATTAATACTTCTATCTATCTATCTATCTTCATTATCTCTCTATCTCTCTATCTATCTATCTATCTATCTTCATTATCTCTCTATCTCTCTATCTATCTATCACTTTTTTCTATACTCCTCTTTAACTTTTTTTACTGATTCTAGTCCGTTTCTCTTACACACCACTCTCTTCACATCGTTACCTTTTTTCTCTTTCTTTATCCGTCTGTCTCTTTCTTTCTCCAGACTTTACTGTTTATTTACCAGATCTGCGACCCTTTACTTTTTTATCCGTTCTTCTTCTTCTTCTTCTTCTCTTCGTTATTTTAATCTCTTCCTTTATCTATCTTTATCATAAGCCTTTCTCTTTACCTTTCTCCTTTCCTCTCTACCATTCTCTTTGTAACATACCTCTCTTTGCGCCTTGTTACCTTTCTCACTGATTGTAGCTTTTCTTTCTCCTTTTATTTCCTGCCACCTCTTTTTTTCACATCTGCTCAGTTGCACACCCACCCTTGACCTGCCTTCCTTTCACAGTTCCACCGCCTGCCTCCATACCCGACTCTGATAGAATACCATCTCTTTTTGCTGATGTTTATACATCGCAAGTTACTGAGTAGTGCGAGCTTGTATTTTTATTCTCTTCTCCCGTGTGAAGTACACTTTCAACTCGCTAGTTTTTCTTCATTCATCCAACCATCGTGCCACTCGGAGAGCGTCAATTTTACTATCAATGGCCCGGTTGACGACATCTGCACTCCTAAGTCTGACAGATAACCACCTCGCTGGGAATAAATGCTATTATACTATTTTTTACAACACCAACGACGTAATAACAAGACCACGAAACGAACTACAGATTTGAACCATGTACTGAGGTAAACTTCATTATACTTTCAAAAACGTTATTTTGATGTTGTTATGGTGATGCTTGGGTGGGTCTTTTTTGCTTACACATTCGTTTTATTTTCTTCTTTTTTTTTTTCCTGCTGCTCTTTCAAGCGTGTACACTCACGGGCATTATACAGAATAATTAAGCAAATAAAGGATTAATATATGCACGAATAAATGCATTACGTTTTGCGCCCAGTATGAGAAACAATAGACTATTGAAGCTTTTGTTTTTAATTATTTTAGAGAAAAATGTATTTATTTCCTCATGGCGCGAAACACGATAACATTATTTATTTTATTTGGTCATCAGCTGAGGTACACGCATATGACATAACTTGCCTCTGTCTGTCACACTTGCATTATATATATATATATATATATATATATATATATATATATATATATATATATATATATATATGCTCCCTCTGAAATCTTTCTATTTACTCCGTGACTGTTTTTCATTTATTTCTATCTATCTATCTGTCTGTCTATTTATCGCTATTTCAATACTCCTTCTTTTTTACTGATGCTTATCTTTCTTATTCCCTTCCTCATGCATCTCTCTCTCTCTCTCTCTCTCTCTCTCTCTTTTCACCGCATTTCTTATTCTTATTTCTCTTTATTATTATATTTATCTGTCTATGTCTCTTCATATCTATTTAACGTTTTGTTTCATACCTATCTTTATCAGTCTGTTCATATCTGTCTATCTCAAGTTTTTACATATATATCTATATCAGTTTGTTCATATCTATCTATCTATCTATCTATCTATCTATCTATCTATCTATCTGTGCCACTCGATCCATATCTATCTTTTTTCAATACGCCTTCTTTTTACCGACCCTTATCTTTATTACTTTCCTCCTCTCTTATACGCCTTTCTTTCTTTCTTTCTTTCTTTCTTTCTTTCTTTCTTTCTTTCTTTCTTTCTCTCTCTATCTATCTATCTTTCTCCTCCCTTTGTCTCTATCCTCTCTCTCTCTCTCTTCTTGTTTACTTATTTCCTCTCACCCCGAAAAAATCTCTATGCATCTTTTTACTGTTTTCATTCATTTCATAGTATTGAGAGCATTTTTAGCACTGTTAGCCGGGTACTAGGTGAAGATCGAACTCACGGCACGAGTGAAATGTCTGCCAGACTACTTTGTTATTTATTGACAATATGTGGCCTTTAATATACAGATGTGAGAAGTCGAGATGCGCGTTTAGTCGGGAGAAAAAATGTATGTTTACAGTTGGGTTTTGTTTCTGTTGTACGTGTAATAATTGAATCACAATTATTTCACGAAAATAATAATGATTCTCTACTAAACGTATGGGGCACCTAGTGAGGATCGAACACACTATTCAGTCGTAACTGTTTCAGGGAGAAAAGCTTGCTAACCCTTACACCACACCGAGGTGCCGCCCTAGTAATTTTCTTAGCATAACGTAGATGTGGCACAAGGCCGAACGTATGAGGTACCTAGAGGGGGATCGAACTCACTTTTCAGTCATAACTGATCTACCGAGACAATCTTGCTAACCATTACACCACGCCGAGGTACCCAAGCTCAATATAATAATAGTCATATGTGTTATATTTCAATGTCACCTTTCCCGTGGTGGTGGTTGGGGGTTGTTTGGTGGGGGGTATTTATATAAAATCAAAACGGAAGGTATTTCTACCAATTAAACATGACTATCTCGAATGACACCAAAATATAGGAATTATGAAGAATCATGATCGCCTACATATTAAAAAGACTTGGTAAATAAACGAACTTGAAAGGCCAAAACTACTTTCACTTTAAAATTTTTTAAAAACAATACTGGCTTTTATTTTTTATTTTTAGTTATCTATTTTGAGGGGGTGGCGAAGTGTTGTAATCATAGCTTCTATGCTTATTCGAATTTATCTCGACATTTTAGTTTTGTTTTTTGTCTTTTATTTTAATCAATCACAAGGTTTCGGCTTCAGCACCCATCGGCCTTTCGCAGCTGTATTAGACCCAAGATAAATACATTACAGCGACCGAAAAGTTAGGATTAAAAACAACAACAAAAAAAAAAAAAGAAAAAGAAAAATTAACTTGGAATGAATTAATAAGCGATATTAATAGGTTAATAGTGGGAAAACTTACAGCGAAGGAAATGATAATTCATTTGCTACCAGTTTTCTCAATGCATACGGTGATTTTCTAGGCGTAGTGGCACCCAGTGAGGATCGAACTTATTACTTAGTCGTAATTGATTTAACAAGCCATATTTGCTAGACCATTACACCACGACGAAATGACCAAGTAAATTTCTAAGCGTAGCTTAGATGTGACACAAGACCGAAAATGTGGGGCACCCAGTGAGGATCGAACTCACTACTCAGTCGTAACTTGCTGACCATTACGCCACGTTGACATGCCTTTTTCGCGGTGGATATGAAAGCAATTATGCTATTACTATTCTCAACGGTACCTTCTATAGATATGAACATTATTTGACCGAAATATTTCTTGTATGAAGAATCGCTTATTTGACCGAAATATTTTTTGTATGAAGAATCACTTTTTGTGTCTCCTAGATTGGTGACCGCTTGAGAATACCAGGTGCTGTACGCTTGAATGCGCGCGTGCTGTAATTGGAAATCGAAGTGCCGAGTTCTAATTCCTGTCGGGTCCGTTATATTTACTTTAGGTGCAAATTCCCATGGAAAGGTCTGAATCGATCTCTTCTCCCCCCAGTTATGGGTTAATTAGTAGCATTTGGATCAGTAAATCATTACTATCTCACCCACCCACCAAAATTACTATAATTTAAAAATATTTTCTGGTTATAAATAAAAGCAAAAGATGGATAAGTCATAAAAAAATAATTAATCAATCTTTGTGTCTCGCTCAGGTTGCACGTTTTTTTTATCCTTATCTGTCTTAATATACTTATGTCTGTCTCTCTCAGTTTACAGATGTCTCTCTCTCTCTCTCTCTCTCTCTCTCTCTTTCCTCCCTCTCTCGCTCTCTCTCGTCTCTCTCTCTCTCTCTCTCGCCTCTCTCTCTCTCTTTCACTCCCTCTCTCTCTCGCTCTCTCTCTCTCTCTCTCTCTCTCTCTCTCTCTCTCTCTCTCTCTCTCTCTCTCTCGCTCTCTCTCTCTCTCTCTCTCTCTCTCTCTCTCTCGCTCTCTCTCTCTCTCTCTCTCTCTCTCTCTCTCTCGCTCTCTCTCTCTCTTTCACTCCCTCTCTCTGTCTCTCATTGTTCATTTATCTCATTCTATCTTACATTGAACATGTCTATCTCTTTCAATCTGTTTATGTATTCATCTCTCTCTCTGTCTGCTCGAATTTCTATATCTGCAAAACTGCTTTTATCTCTCTCTCTCTCTGTGTGTGTGTGTGTGTGTGCGTGTGTGTGTGTTTTTAAATCTCTTTCAATTTGTCTTTATCTATAACTATCGCAGTTCAACTTTCTCTCTCTCAATCTCTGTCCCCATGTTTCTCTCTCTCTCTCTCTCTCTCTCTCTCTCTCTCCTCTCCTCTAAATATACTTTTATTTCACTTTTATAATTCTCTCAGATTTTTTCCAAGTACTGCTAATTTTGGGGACTGACTCCCGTGTGAATGCTTCCCCGAACACTACAATCTTAATCCCTTCAAATCAAGAGACAGTCATTATCTATCGCCCGAACCCTCATACGCTTCACTTATTTCTACCTCCTCTTACATTCATATCACACACCTCATTCAATATCCTTCTACCTAGAGTGGCTCTCAAGCCTTGTATTAGGTGCATGCTAAATAAAAACTCCTTCTGTCTGCTTAAACATATATCTCCCAGGCTGTACACTCTCTCTCTCTCTCTCTCTCTCTCTCTTTCTCTCTTTTCGTCTGTTCATATCTTCCAGTCTGCTCACATCTCTTTTAAACGTGTGACGTCTTCCATTAAATGCATCTAACTTTTTTTTTATTAATACATTGAAAGATACTGAGCAGTCGAGCCAGTCATATTTTATTGCCGGATGTACACAATTAGGGCCATACTGATTTCGATGTTCATTGGATGCCTTATTCATATCAACTTGGAAGGTGATTGTCAGTTGGCTATATATCCATCTAATAAATGCGATTGTGATTGTGTCACACTTTTTCAACTTTACTATTAGAGGCCGTAGTAGCCCAACATATCATACAATTTTGAAATCAGACCAACTCCGTGAGGAAATTAAAAACATTCCGGGTCGGATCCGTACCCGCAATCCTAAAATTTTGAATTCCCAAGTTTTCAATTGTTTTCGGCGATTTTTTTTACCTGATTTTTTGCCACAAATTTTTTTGTACAACAATTTTTATAACTTGAAAATAAATTTGGGAATAATCGAAATTAATTGCGAAATCCAACGAAAGTCACCCATGAAATAAAAATAATGTTTGTAGCGAAAGTAAGGACTTGTCTTTAAATTAAATAGCAGCAGAAGAATTGTGGAACTTTTAAAATGTAAGCTTAAATATTAATGCAATGTAGCGATCATATTTTGAGTTCTTCTGTAGTTTATTGTTCCCTATCGCATCTACATTTCTTCGTCTATTGTAATAACGGCCCAATAAAGAGCCCTATGTGAGAGCCAGCTTAAATAGCGCCCGATAAGGCAGGTTGTAAGCTGGTAAATTATATTTATTTGTGCGTATTTGGTGAAATGTTCGTGGATCTACACACTTTTTCAAATCGTTCTGAATTTAAATACTTTGGCTGTTTTATTGTTCGAAATTCATACAAATAATCGGTTCATGAAGAGTTCTCAAAGACAACTAAAAGACAAATAACTCAAAGAGTGATTTTCAAAGCGTACATGAGACACAAGGTCGCAATTATGGGGCACACAATGAGGATCGAACTCACTACATAATCTGTTCTAGCGAGCTAAGCTTGCTAACAAATACACTACGCCAAGGTGTCCAACAAATAGCTCAAATAACATTCAAACATATATTAGCACTTTGCATGTTGTCAAAATTGCTGGGGCCTGCCGCAAATATTACGCACTTGTAAGAGTAGTCAAACTTTGGGGAAGATTAAGGATTTTCTGAGAAAGTAGATAGGCCCATCCAACACTTAGAAAACTGGCGCAATACAATCTTCCTTTTTTTGAGTTTGTTCTCTGTGTGCCTAATATAAGCTTCTTAAATATTTAAAACGAAATCGCTGCCTCTTAGTTCGATCATAAAATTTCATATATTCCATCTAATTCTGTTTTTATCTATCTCTCTCACGCTCTATCTATTAATCTTTGTACGCTTCCCTATCTCAATCTATTTCAATATCTATCTATCTATTTTACGCTCTGTATCAATATTTCTATCTATCTTTCAATTATTTCAATATGTTCATATCTATCTATCTATCTATCTATGTTCATATCTACCTATCCATCCATCTCAGCCTGTTCATATCTATCTATCTATCTATCTATCTATGTTATCTATCTATCTATCTATCCATCTCAGCCTGTTCATATCTATCTATCTATCTATCTATCTCAGTCTGTTCATCTATCTATATCATATCTATCTATCCATCCATCTCAGCCTATTCACATCTATCTATCTATCTATCTATCTATCATTCTATTCTATCTATCTATTTCAGTCTGTTCATCTATCTATCTATCTATCTCATCTATCATATCATCATCTATCTATCTATCTCAGTCTGTTCATACCCATCTATTTCAGTCTGTTCATCTCATCTATCTATCTATCTATCAGTCTATCCCATTCTATTCATATCTATCTATTTCAGTCTGTTCGTATCTCATCTATCTATCTATCTATCTATCTATCTATCTATCTATCTATCTATCTATCTATCCCATTCTATTCATATCTATCTATTTCAGTCTGTTCGTATCTATCTATCTATCTATCTATCTATCTATCTATCTATCTATCCCAATCTGTTCATACCTATCTATTTCAGTCTGTTCGTATCTATCTATCTATCTATCTATCTATCTATCTATCTATCTATCTATCTATCTATCTATCTATCTATTTATCTATCTATCCCAATCTGTTCATACCTATCTATTTCAGTCTGTTCGTATCTATCTATCTATCTATCTATCTATCTATCTATCTATCTATCTATCTATCTATCAAACGATTCCACATTTTCTGATTTTTGTTTTAATTCCCAAGAGTTACGCATTTATTTTTCCTCCCGTTTATTCGACAGATCTTCATCACACTTTACTCGCCTGCAAACACTTCCTGTGTCTATTCTCTCTCCAAATAAATATCTCAGCCACATTTTCTCCCACATTCCCAGTTAGTTTGGCAAGAACGGCGCAAGTACTTACCAACCTTTTATACGCCAATTTTTTTTTTAACTCTTTCTTGCTTTTCATTCCCAGCATATTATCCAACTATATAAGATCTCTCCTACTCTCTCTCTCCCACTCTCTCTCCCTCCCTCCTCTCTCTCTCCTCTCTCTCTCTCTCTCTCTCTCTCTCTCCTTATATATATAATCTCTTATTCAAAACCTGCGAAATACCAACTTTTTTTTCATCCTATACAATAATTACTTTTACAGTCTGTTCTCCTAAAAGTCGAGAAAAATACAAACAAGGATAAACAATACACTCTTACCCACCGCGCCGACACACGCGCGCGCTCGCGCGCACGAGCGAGCACACACAAACCAAATCGTCCATTCGTACGTAATGAAGATATATTCAATCTGAATGTGCATCCACTTACAAGCACGATGGCTTTCTCTCTCTTCGTTCTCGTAAACCTGCAGACACACTTTTTTCCAAAGCACATGGGAATGAGATTCACATGCGGAAACACACATTTGGGCGAGACACATTCATGCCGGTATTCATTCATTCATTCATTCCTATCTATCTTTTCCGCAGATTTATTTTATCATCAAATCAACTTGAAAGTCATGGTTAACGAGCTTTTCTAATTCATTACTATGTAGGTTGGTACTTTCTTGCCTCATTCTCCATACATATGGCCTTATGCCAGACTTAGCTCAATATGCATACAACAGTCTTTTCAATCACTAAATCCGGATACTTTTCTGTTATCTGTGTACACCATTCAATACTGTTTTATCTCGCTCACTCACTAGAGTTTCCAGCTAATAGGTTATATATATATATATATATATATATATATATATATATATATATATATATATATATAAAGTGAAACATAGAAGTCAACACTTTAGAGGTGACAGTCTGTTTCATGCTAGATGCAATCGACAGGCCTGAGGATTGCATCTAGCATGAAACAGTCTGTCGCCTCTAAGTGTTGACTTTTATGTTCACTTTTATATTTACACACGCTCTATCTCTGATATTGAGCACTTTATAAATATAGCACATCTTAAGACTATATTTCTTCATATATATATATATATATATATATACGAAATATATATATATACGAAATGATGTATATGTGTGTGTGTAAATATAAAAGTGAACATAGAAGTCAACACTTAGAGGTCTTTGTTATATGCAATCGTCAGGCCACGTGGCTTGACGATTGCATATAGCATGAAACAGACTGTCGCCTCTAAGTGTCGACTTCTATGTTCACTTTTATATATATATATATATATATATATATATATATATATACACTGCTGTCAAAGTTAAGTTTTAAATTTCTAATTTCGACACGAACACTGTCTATACACAGGGGTTGAATAAGATTAACGTACTTTTCGTTAGTTGAAATAGATCTATACCTCTCATATGAGGTAATTTTGAATTTTGTTGTAAATATATATATATATATATATATATATATATACGAGGGTCGGCTGGAAAGTTCATAGACTGACCAAGATATAAATGTAAGACTCACCGTTGGTAGACAAAAAGACATGCTATGGTGTACCAGAATAAAGTAGCTGACCAACCAGTATACTTGGTGTCTTTTTGTCTACCAACCGGTGTGTTTACTTACATTTATATCTTGGTCAGCCTATGAACTTTTCAGCCGACCTTCGTATGTAGTTATTCTAGTATGAAAGAATTCTACTTTTTAAATCATAAAATGCAAACACATCTCAGAAAAGCTAACACAAAACAAAAATACAAATTCAATATATTAAAACCCTAATCTAAGTTTTTGGGTAATGAGATATTACGTTGTTGTGGTAACAAAAAATTATTTGCTTATAATAGTGAAGTAATACCTCCTAAAAGAATTTCTTTTAGCAGTGGGATCCGACAGAATGCCACCCTAGTGACCTTAAGACCTTGACATAGAACCGTAATGGTTGGTGTAATAGACTCATAAATATTCGAGCTCACTCGACTGAATAAAATACCTCCTGCTATCAAGAACGAAAGCTCACGTTGCATTTCCAATAAATATATAATCACACTGTGTTTTATAATATAGAATATATTATTTTTAAATGTTTATTCTCACTAAGCTTTATTTATTATTATTATTATTATTATTATTATTATTATTATTGTCACTAATATGCCACTATGGCTGACAGAAGAGAGTGCAGATAGGTCAAGGATTTTTTTCGGCTTATTCTTCTTATTTTTATTCAGAAGAGAAACAGCTATGTAATTAGATGTCAATAGATCTGGTGCTATCTCTCTTGAACAGTGAATTTTTAACTGTATTTAATTAAAACTAACTCAGAGACTAGTAGTTGGTTCGACTGATAATTGCCGTCTTCTCCAACTTAGTGCTTTTTAACGATAATGAGCTGATAAAGACTTGAGCTACAATTTATCTCTTCTTGCTCTGTTACGGTTATAAAAACACAAACATGCAGAAATCGAATCATTAAAAATAGATTAATTCACACTGTAATCTATAAATGGGTTTTACTAGAAAGCAAGTGACATGAAACCTCTTCGGAGTTTTTGCATCTTCCTTAGAATCTTTGCTGCTTTCAGTAATTTTAATTTGCATTCTTTGTTTCTTTTTTGTTGTTGTTGTTTCTTTATTAGAACTGTGTCAAAGTTTACCACGTTCGTAAACTCATGGCCGCTGTTAGTTCTTCTATATTCAATAATTAAATTATTATGCAACAGAAGTACTGTAATGTTTTTTTTTTATATATCCTGGTAGATTCTGTCTGCATTCTGTTTTGTGCAAAAGAAATCCACTTGCCTTCAAAAAGGCTGAGGCCGTGCACCAGCTGATGCGCTTGGTTGCATGTTACAAAAAAATCCGAGACAGACTCATTCTGTCATTTATAACAAAACGGTTAATGAAATAACCCGAATGTGCTGGATACAATTTAGTGTACCCACCTTCTAAAGCAGGGGTCGGCAATCTTTTGCTATGTGCCGACTTAGGGTTTTAAAATACTCCAGTGTGCCAACAGCATACGTATATTTATACAAATCTAGGTCAATATACCTGTTCTACAATATATTATATATAGTAATATATAGTATATATACTTTAGTATATATTAAAATTGAAATAGCTTAATATCTTCTTTGCGTTGTTGTTATTGATTCGGACTTCGTGATGTCATTTGCGGTTGCGTGCCATTATAAATTGCTTGGCGTGCTACGTGTGGCACGCGTGCTGTAGGTTGCCGATCCTTGTTATAAAGCATATAAAGTTGTTGAGGACCGTTTGTATTTGCATGTTGCTGTATTAGAAACACATGTGTAACTCCTGGTAGAATATTAAAAGGTCCAACTACAAGAAAATTGCTGCACTCTAGTCCACCGGAAGATGTAAAGAAAAAAGAAAAATATATAAAACCGATATATATATATATATATATATATATATAATCTAACAAATATATGTATTAAACAATACAATTTTACAATGGACATAGACAATAATATTTGTGTGTGTGTGTGTGTGTGTGTGTGTGTGTGTGAACGTTTGTGTCTGTTCTTTGGTGAATGTTCGTATTTTGGTGAATGTTCGTACGTATGTGTATGTGTGTATAATGCTCATGGCGTCTCCCACAAATGGGAAGATGCAGATCTTCTAAGAGAGCTTACATTGTAGTCGCAGAAATGACGAAATGAAAAAGAGAACGAGACGAGAAGTCGCCGAGTATTTATAGTATAGGGAGAATGACCCCTAGTGACAATTTGGGAATTAAGGAGGAGCTAACTCAGACAAAGTCAGTGACAGTTGAAGGATCGAAGCTGATGAGGTGAAAAAAAGGATTTGCGGATACTTGGGCTTTCGGCTGTGTGAATTTGTGACGGTTTTCTACATGCTTAAACTGTTTAATAAAATATTTACCAAAACTGTTTATTTTTATGACAATTCATAAATAATTAACGCCTGCCATCAAAAATAGGTTGATGGGTATTAATGGGTCATAGGTTTGTTTAACCTCCTCAAACAAACACATCTGGACACTTCTTTCCAAACATATATGCCATATCAATTATTCCTTTCTGATCCTAATGTCGTCTACCAGTTGATCGATAAAGGTTCTTTGCAGTGTTGGACTTCCCTATAAGTTAAATAAGCAATAGCTTAGGGCCACGCACCCTGATGGCCTCAGTTTTTTTAAAAATATATTTCTAATTTTATCATTATTCTTTCATTCATTCATTCTTTACAGCTTATCGACCTTTTGTAGGCTATTTAAAGCCAGAAAATATTTTCAGTTTGTAGGAATTTCTTTTGAGATAATAACTGTTGAGTGATTTAAGTTTCATAGTTTAACCCATAGCTGGGGGGAGAAGAGACGTATACAAATCTTTCCCAGTGAATATAACCAATCCAACGGGAATTGGAACTCGACTCTCCGATTATCAATTCCTCACCATTACCCTTTCCACCACCCGCATATACAAGCTTAAAACACCTGGTATTCTTAAGCTGTCACCCATCTAAGTACTGACCAGGCTCGACTTTGCTTAACTTCTATGATCGTAAGCCTTTTTATTCTTTTAAACTAAATCATCAACGATTATATATAATCATTAATAAATAATTATCATGCATAATTGTTTTAATTTTTTATCAGAAACTTTTCATCCTAGGTATGATGATAAACTACATCCGCCTCCTGGGTAAGACGATAAACTACATCCAACAGCAAGGTTTTGAGGAGCATGGAGCCACCGTGTCCACCCTGACCTGAGGTTGTAGCACTTGTTAGGTCCCAGCTATGGGCAAACAGTTAACCCCCAAACTGGGGTCAATACGTGTAAAAATAGGTTTTAACACATTTTTGTAAAAAAATTATTACCAGCAATAAATTTTCGAAGAAAAGATTATTACCAGCAATACATTATTACTAGCAATACTTTCGGAGAAAAAATATTACCAGCAATACATTTTTGAAAAAAACATATTTCGAACAATAAATTTTTAAAAAAGATATATTACCAGCAATATATTTTGTGGAAAAATATTGCCTGCAATACATTTTTTGAGAAAAATATTATCAGAAATACTGTTTGAAAAAATATTACCAGCAATAAAAATCTTGTCGGTATTAAATAACCTATTGAGGTTGATATGCCGTAAAACAAACCAA